AGAAGAAGTCGTTTGTAGCAATATAGCCAAATTGCCCCCTTTTGGCCCCGCCCCTCAGCCCAACCATTTGTATAATTTTGAATCTCCACCACCTAGGGATGCTTTCAGTCAAATATGGTTGATATCCATCTCTCAGTTCCAGAGAAGAAGTCGCTGAAAGCAGTATAGCCAAATTGTCCCCTTTTTGCCCCGCCCCTCAGCCCCCTGGGTGGTCAGCCCCATCATTTGTACAATTTTGAATCCCTGACACTTAGGGATGCTTCCTGTTAAATATGGTTGATATCCACTTCTTAGTTCCAGAGAAGAAGTCGCTTAAAGCAATATAGCCAAATTGACCCCTTTTGGCCCCGCCCCTCAGCCCCCTTGGGGGTCAGCCCCACCATTTGTACAATTTTGATTCCCCACCACATAGGGATGCTTTCAGTCAAATTTAGTTGAATTCCAATAAGTGGTTAAGAAGAAGAAGTCGTTTAAAGAAATTGTTGACGTACGTACGTACGTACGTACGGACGACGGACGCAACGGCATGGCATAAGCTCACCTTGGTCCTTCGGACCAGGTGAGCTAAAAAATCGTAAAGCATCTATTAAGAACTCTTTTGATGCATTCTTGAAACAAAAGGATTTTTGCATTCAACAATTCTAGCACTGCCGAACCATGTACTCATTTACAGCTGAGTAGACTGGAATAAGCGGAGTAAAGTATCTTTCTCAAAGACATTTTCAGCTGAGTAGACTGGAATAAGCGGAGTAAAGTATCTTGCTCAAAGATACAACACAGTGCCATGCTGACATTTAAACCCGCAACCCATTTGTCACTAGCCCGGCGTCATACCACTAGACTACCGTGCCTCCATGGAACTATACTTGGATGTATTGAAATGGGTTAATGTAGTAATTCAAAGACCAGGAAAAATACATAAGGCCTGTAACTATTGAAAATAATTTAGTTGTGGTCACAAGGTTACATTAACAGATAAACAGTGTGATAACATGTACATAGTACCCTCCACTTCTGGCTGGAATATTACATATATTTATATGCTATAACTATTTTATACACCATTATTTTCTCTCCATTTTATTTGTAAGATATGGTTCATTTCAATAACATTGTCCTACAGAGCATCAATATCATCAACAATGGTAGTCACACTTTTCTGTGTGTTTTTGTAATTACAGTTTACAGGTATACATTGTTTATTGGTAGTGTTAATGGTTTCCAAAGTTTATTTGTACAGCAATAAAGGGTTACATTCGTATCCCGGTTGAAACGGTTCAGGTGGTGTAGAAATATTCTGCGATAAACGAACGCACTTGGACCGAACTATAGGCAGAGCTAAAAATGCACAGTTTCGGAGAATAGATAACAATATACAAACTGTATATCCTTCCAGGTTCAACTGTTTCAACAGGTTGAACCGGATACACTGAAGGGCCCAAGTGTATCCATTATTTATTTGTACAGTAATACAGGTATCCATTGTTTATGTAAACAATTAAATATTTCTTTATTTTTTCCCCTGGAAATAACACAGAAATTGTCTGGTCACTGTCCAAAGTTTACTTCAGTTGGAAGTGTTTATTAAGATTATGATGGGATTTTGTCCTAAAAACTTACCAAAATTTCCTTCAAAATCTCAAAGGCAGCTTGACTGTACATATCTACATCTGTCTTGCACTTAAAATAAACAAAAATTCAATAAAACTTACTATAGATGTGGACAATTATGTTTCTCCATAAGGGACAACAAATTACAATAAATTCAGGAGGATTAATGGCCACAGCACTCTGCATCCCACATATACATACATTCTCTTTCGTTAATACAACATGAAAATCAAAGGCCTGAAGGGCCTGAGAGGTGTAGCGCTTTTGTGGATACGATATTGCATGGAAAACTATCGGTTAATATCCGATGGAAAAATCTCTTTATTGAGGGAAAAGGAAATGGGGCACATTAACCTAGTTATAGTTTTGGTATGCAAAACACTGAACCTGCACAACAGGAGGCAGACATAGATTTTCTTCGCTAATCTCATTATCATACATGTACAATACATGTAAAAAAATATTAATATTATTATACGGACCATCAACAAAGAAAAATGTCATTAGGGCCAAAGCAAATATTTCTTTAATATATTCACATAAATATTGTTGATTAACAACATATATCAGTAATTATACATCAAGTCCAGTACAATTAAATCAATTAATCTTTATTTCAAATACAAAGCAGTTATTATTTCTATAATATTTAAGTGATAGTATCCCCTCTATGGCCCCAGCTGCAGGCTTACCAATGCTGTGTGTACCGTTAAATGTCGTCTGCTCACCTGTGCGCTACAAAGGACATATCCCTTCTAGGGCCCCTAGCTGCAAAATTGCCACTGCTGTGAACTGTTATAATGTCGTCTGCTTTGAAATCAGTACGCTCTTATAAATGTTGCAAGCAACACGGGCACTATGTTTTATCAGTGGATGAATTAGAAGTAAATTAGTCCGTAGTATACATTCAACCAAAAAAGGGAGATAACTGTAAATTTGATACTCCAGAGCAGGGTGATAGCAAAGAGGCGCTACGCCTCAAAAACATTATGCAAGCTCTTTTTCATATTTGACATTGATGGCATCACTCAGTTGTTATTGTGGTGATGTGTTTGTTAACTACCTTACACTCCAACATGTTTATCACCAGTAATACACACACAAACTTCTACAAACTCGAGTCCCAAAGTTAGTTATCACACAACAGCCAATATCAAAGAAACACTGATTTAACTTTATGTAGTCGTTAACATGTAAAATTTAGCTTTTTCATATTTTTGAATTAAAAAAACCTCAAAATTGCACAAAACTACAGTTTAAGGATAAATGATCTGGAATTAAAAGTTTGCTATCAAGACACTTAATGGAATATGTTGGACGCATCATCTTCTTACCTGAGCTGCTGAGCTTCCAAGTTTGGGACACACATCATTTTCAACGAAATTCCTGATTGCATTCTGCAGTGAAGGAAATACACTCTTATGGTATACTGTAAACATTCCTTTAGCAGATATGTAAATCTTGTGCTTTACCCAATACACCGATATGTTAATTTATTAACATTGATTAGGTACTAATTTGATTTCTACAAGTAATCTGAGAGTATTGTTCAAATTTAAAAAACGAAGTCTTTCTATGGTCAAGTTCAAGGGTTGATAAATGGAGTTGGTCTTATTACAAACTTACAGACATAATGAATTCATAATCACATGGAATTTACCATAAGAAGCTTGAACAGTCAATTTCTATTATACAAGGAAATCACTGATGATCTGCTAAAATGTCAGTACAGATCAGTGATGTCTGTGACGTACAATGTCAGTACAGATCAATGATGTCTGTGACGTACAATGTCAGTACAGATCAGTGATGTCTGTGACCTACAATGTCAGTACAGATCAGTGATGTCTGTGACCTACAATGTCAATACACATCAATGATGGTTGTGACCTACAATGTCAGTACAGATAAAAGATGGCTGTGACCTACAATGTCAGTGAAGTTCAGTGATGTCTGTGACGTACAATGTCAGTGAAGTTCAGTGATGGTTGTAACGTACAATGTCAGTACAGATCAGTGATGTCTGTGACCTACAATGTCAGTACAGATCAGTGATGTCTGTGACCTACAATGTCAGTGAAGTTCAGTGATGTCTGTGACGTACAATGTCTGTACAGATCAGTGATGTCTGTGACCTACAATGTCAGTACAGATCAGTGATGGTTGTAACGTACAATGTCAGTACAGATCAGTGATGGTTGTAACGTACAATGTCAGTGAAGTTCAGTGATGTCTGTGACGTACAATGTCTGTACAGATAAATGATGTCTGTGACCTACAATGTCAGTACAGATCAGTGATGGTTGTAACGTACAATGTCAGTACAGATCAGTGATGGTTGTAACGTACAATGTCAGTGAAGTTCAGTGATGTCTGTGACGTACAATGTCAGTGAAGTTCAGTGATGTCTGTGACGTACAATGTCTGTACAGATAAATGATGGCTGTGACCTACAATGTCAGTACAGATCAATGATGTCTGTGACCTACAATGTCAGTACAGATCAGTGATGTCTGTGACCTACAATGTCAGTACAGATCAATGATGGCTGTAACCTATAATGTCAGTACAGGTCAGTGATGTCTGTGACCTACAATGTCAGTATAGATCAGTGATGGCTGTGACCTACAATGTCAGTACAGATCAATGATGTCTGTGACTTACAATGACAGTACAGATAAGTAATGTCTGTGACCTACAATGTCTGTACAGATCAGTGATGTCTGTGACCTACAATGTCAGTACAGATAAATGATGGCTGTTACCTACAATTTCAATACAGATCAATGATGTCTGTGACCTTCAATGTCAGTACAGATCAGTGATGGTTGTGACCCACAATGTCAGTACAGATCAATGATGGCTGTAACCTATAATGTCAGCACAGGTCAGTGATGTCTGTGACCTACAATGACAGTACAGGTCAGTAATGTCTGTGCCCTACAATGTCAGTATAGATCAGTGATGGTTGTGACCCACAATGTCAGTACAGATCAGTGATGTCTGTGACCTACAATGACAGTACAGGTCAGTAATGTCTGTGACCTACAATGTCTGTACAGATCAGTGATGTCTGTGGCTTACAATTTCAGTACAGATCAATGATGTCTGTGACCTACAATGTCAGTACAGATCAGTGATGTCTGTGACCTACAATGTCAGTACAGATAAATGATGGCTGTGACCTACAATGTCAGTACAGATCAGTGATGTCTGTGACCTACAATGTCAGTACAGGTCAGTGATGGTTGTGACCTACAATGTCTGTACAGATCAGTGATGTCTGTGACCTACAATTTCAGTACAGATCAGTGATGTCTGTTACCTACAATGTCTGTACAGATCAGTGATGTCTGTGACCTACAATGTCAGTACAGATAAATGATGGCTGTGACCTACAATGTCAGTACAGGTCAGTGATGTCTGTGACCTACAAGGTCAGTATAGATCAGTGATGGCTGTGACCTACAATGTCAGTACAGATCAGTGATGTCTGTGACCTACAATGACAGTACAGATAGATGATGTCTGTGGCCTACAATTTCAGTACAGATAAATGATGGCTGTGACCTACAATGTCAGAACAGATCAATGATGGCTGTGACCTATTATGTCAGTACAGGTCAGTGATGTCTGTGACCTACAATGTCAGTATAGATCAGTGATGGCTGTGACCTACAATGTCAGTACAGATCAGTGATGTCTGTGACTTACAATGACAGTACAGGTCAGTAATGTCTGTGACCTAATTATATAAAATGTCTGTACAGATCAGTGATGTATGTGGCCTACAATTTCAGTACAGATCAATGATGTCTGTGACCTACAATGTCAGTACAGATCAGTGATGTCTGTGACCTACAATGTCAGTACAGGTCAGTGATGGTTATGACCTACAATGTCTGTACAGATCAGTGATGGCTGTGACCTACAATGTCAGTACCGGTCATTGATGTCTGTGACCTACAATGTCAGTACAGATCAGTGATGTCTGTGACCTACAATGACAGTACAGGTCAGTGATGTCTGTGACCTACAATGTCAGGACAGATCAGTGATGTATGTGACCTACAATGTCTGTACAGATCAGTGATGTCTGTGACCTACAATGTCAGTACAGGTCAGTGATGTCTGTGACCTACAATGTCAGTATAGATCAGTGATGTCTGTGACCTACAATGTCTGTACAGATCAGTGATGTCTGTGACCTAAAATGTCAGTACAGATAAATGATGGCTGTGACCTACAATGTCGTACAGATTAGTGATGTCTGTGACCTACAATGACAGTACAGGTCAGTGATGTCTGTGACCTACAATGTCAGTACAGATCAGTGATGTATGTGACCTACAATGTCTGTACAGATCAGTGATGGTTGTGACCTACAATGTCAGTACAGATCAGTGATGGTTGTGACCTACAATGTCAGTACAGGTCAGTGGTGGCTGTGACCTACAATGTCAGTACAGATCAGTGATGGTTGTGACCTACAATGTCAGGAACACGAGTGCTTATCAAAAAAATTAATTTGACAGTATCCAATCATCAATTAGTTAATATATCAAATTTAGACTGGGGGTGCCGACACGTACCTGTACTGTGGTTGAGCTCTCCAGGAGGCCGAGCGCTTTAATGACCGATGTACAGGCCTCACATTCAATGGTTCCCAACTGCAGTGCAAAAAAAGTCATATCTTACCATTTATTTTGTGTGTATGCATTCAATATATTATTGTCATAGCTTTTTGATTTGATTGGTCAATCCTTTTCCCTAAATCTCATGACTTTAGCAGACTACTAGTATTACTACAAGACCTAACTATAAGGTGCTCATCTGTACCCAGATATTTATCTGTTTCCTTCAATTAAGTGAAAAGAAATATGGTGGCTATCATTGATTGGATCAATAGTCTCAGAATGTCAGAAGCTTTCTAACAGATAACATACATTAATGCCTTGCCCAAAACACTTCGCACTTCTCAAAGAGTAGGAATAACTTTTACACCATTTAGCCTACCTCATAAGTCAGGAAGGGTTTTTACCTTTAGGGTAACGCCCTGAGTATGTTACACATCTCTGTGTCTAGAACAGTTCTGAGATGTTCTAGACAAGGCAATGCTGTAAGGAAGTTAATGTAGCTTATATTTTTTAACATTTCTTGCAGTTCTGCTATATCAAGCCCAGCAATGACAGTAAAAAACAAATCATAAACATTGTCATATTACAGTTGATGTTATTTTATCTTTAAGTAGAACAAGTTTGCTACCAACAATTCTCCGGTGACTCCTTACCTGTAGTTTCACAGCTCCCAGGGCATTGGGACACATACCAAGTTCTACACACAACTGGTCATCAATCTGTAAATCAGACAGAAGTCATTTAGTTACTGATCCTTACATGATCTTACCAACTACAGAGAAAGAGGATTTAAACACTGGATACATTTCTGTGTTATTTTACTTCACCCTTTTTTTTTTTAATAATCTCCAAACTATATACATAGCTCTATTTGTAGCTGCTCCCAACATGAACTAGAATCAACCTTCGGCACAGCTCTGTTCCGCCGTGGGCTCCACCGGAATTACGACATACCCCACAGCTGTTTTCACACAGTTCATATAGCCCTCTAGTATATAATATAGACTGTCCATATAATTTGCCATATATGGACACTATTAATAATACATGCAAGTTTACGGCCGGGCCTACGCCACTTCGTCGAGACTTCAAAATTCTAGGTTAGGTTATGTGCAGTGTCTGTGAGAACCCTTACGTTGCCAAATATTGTTGTATGAATAAATGCTACGAATCTTAACTACTTTGCTTGTTGTTGTTTCATAAATGTGTAAATCATATATAGAGTAGACATTAATTTTGTGTTTTAAACTAAATTTATTGATTTAATTATTGACTAGCGAGTCAGTGTAGACACCAGCGAGTCATTGTGACACCAGTGAGTTTATTATTAAAAAAAAATGGCGTGGTTCATGCAGACGACCATAGGCTTAGCAGGATATTAACTTCAAGGATTTCATTCACATATTTATACACAACATATAAGATAAAGCGGAAATAATTCTAGAACTCATTATTAAAATTTAGATTATAAAGTATAATAAATCTACACTTTGGCTATTCTTTGGGGCTACTCACCATTTAATCTTTACATAATAGAAACTAGAAACATAATGCAATATCACCTGCATGTATCTTATAAATTGCACCATTATCAACAAGAGGCCCATGGGCCTTAACGGTCACCTGATATATTTATACAGAGAGTTGATTTTGTTTTTAACATGAACAGAAATATTATTCAAAGTGACAAAAAAACAATAAAACCACCTTACTCAATATCTAGCATACAGATTTCAGACTAAAAAGGATTTGAAACTAGCACCT